CAGAGGGTGTGGCCATGGGATGGACTACACCTGATTTATCCTGATTGCTGGGCTTTAAAAGTGGTTGATCAGTGTGTCTCGCTCTCTCATTCCAGCCAGCAGGTCCTTGGTTTGATGCTGTCTTTGGTTTTGATGCATGCATTACCTTTTTCCACACTTCACCCATGTCCACCCACACACTCACTACATTACTGACAAATACTGACATACATATAGATTTTGTGTGAATATTGGTTAATAAAATGTATTTTGCTTGAAACAGTTAAATTGTCTGTGTGGTCTCCCTTCTTTGTCATGAGCTAAGGGTGGGTTCATGACAACGCTGCATCTGAGAAGAAATATTATTCCTCAGGTAGAGCAACCATGTCTCATTGCACAGCAATGTTGACATAATTCAATAAACGTGTGTGTGTGTGTGTGTGTGTGTGTGTGCGTGTTCAATATGCACCAACCTTGATGGCATTGGTGGAAATCTGGATCTCATGCAGCTTCCTCATCGTGCCGTCGCGGTCAATAAAGTAGGACGAGGCCAGTTGATGAAGGGCTTCAACGTTCTGAGTAGCATTGGCAAGCTTCCTGTCCAGCTTGTTTTTGGCCAGGTACATAGTCAGTGCCTCCTCTCCTACAGGTAGCACAAGAAAATGGAAATATGTTTAGGATTATACATATACTTAATGCCTTGGATGTTTTGGGAGAAAAAAGTAGGATGCACGGTGTAAGTACAGTGTTAAAGAAAAATAGTGAGTCAAGTATTTAAAGTAGGGGTAAAGAAATTACTTTAATTTAAGGTGCACTGAATAAATAATGTGAGTATACTCAAGATATCTTCATTTGTTAGAATTGTCCAATCCAGGTTTATCTCAGCTGCCAATAGAGCTCTTAACAAGAGAGATAAGTCATAGGTCTGAATACCAAGGCAAGCAGTTTTAGCTTGAGAAACCAGATGCCCCAGTTTTCCAGGAACAGTCTCAGTATTTGCTGCTTTATCCCCAGCTGGCACCATCCCCAGAAATGTCCCCGGATTTACCCTTATTGGGATAGCATTATTTTCAAGAGAGGTCTAGTGATATAGAATTTTTACCCCAATACCACAGGAATGGTATCCTGTGAAGAACAAATATAACACATCCGGTATCTTTTTTTTCCACTCAGCTAGCCCAGGAAGGGAAAAGACAAATTTAATATAAACACACACAAATAGAAAATAACTTTACCGATTGCAGAGATTTAATTAGTGCAAAGAAAATTTGAAAAGTAGAGATAAGTACAGGAGCTGCTGCAGTAGTAGTAGTGGTGGTGTTAAAACCATGTGGATTTTACCTGTTTATTTGTACAGTAGGACTGCTTTGTTTTTGTTTTTTAGTTCATGTGGATGACAAAATTTACTTATGTGCATGCATGGTTAAATCAAATTACTGACCCTGTGCTGATTGTAACACACTGCCTGGAGAGGTGTTAACCATTCCTTTCTATTTCTCCTACTTAAGACAGACAGGGTCCGTTTTTCTCTCTATTCTTTTCAACAATGCTTTTAAACCACGTAGATCTAATACCTTAGATATAAGTTGTTGTCTCTTAAATCAACAACAATCTGCACACAACACAATGAGCTCTCCACTATGAAAAAGAATTGAGATGTTTCTCATCTGATCCAAGAATTTGGTTGGTATCCTGCTGATATAACTATCTACAAGAATTAAGCCAAACACTCGTGATGAGGCATTGTTGTTTTTGGTGGTGGTGTCATTCTGGGGATAGTTGCAAATGCAAATGTAGGTCAACATGAAATCCTTACTCATTTTCTGAGGTAAAGAGTTCCCACCTGTAATGTGATGTGAATTTAAAACCACCACCACTGTAATAGGGTCACAACTACTGTGAGTATAAAACTGATTATGCACACAAGAAAATCAGCATGTCTCTAATCGCTCTCCATAAATGCAGTCCTATGCCCAGAATTAAAATTGGAGAGGTAAGAAATTAATACCCAAAACATCTTCAACCTTTACCATATGTGTCTATGTATGTATGTATGTATGTCAAGTTTGATTGCCCACGGGAAGACAGGGGGGATTGTATTTAAATGGAAGCCACTGACCTTTCAGTAAGTGTCTATACACCACAAAGGGGAAGAATGTGAACGCTTAGAGCAGTAACAGGGCCAAATATTTACAGAGCACCAGACAATCTCCCTGATTTGCATGTCATACGTTTGTTTGTTGACACACGATGAAGGGTTGAGCTGCTCATTCTATACACATCATATTTTTCCATCTTTTACTCCTACAAGCAGAAACAGACGCACAAAAAGCAAACAAGCAAACACCAATTCATTTCCACGAGCTCACACAAACTTGCCTTCGAAGATTACTGTTCAAATGGCAAACCATATGCCGGGAACTCGCTCAAGAGCATGTCACATATGTTCAGGTTTCTAGTGATGTGAATGGTTATTTGGCCCCCAGCGATGCATTGGAGTTGGTCACTTAACTTGTGGTGACCGTGACTAGGGGTGGGTGGCAGTCAGGGTCGATGTCTCATGCCTGGTTAGAGTACAATCACTGAGGGGACGAGGCCCCATTCTCTGATGCTACCATGCTCTCTCTCCCTCGGGGGTTAGCAAAGTTACTTACACACACTTGACTTACACTACTGCACAAGAATAATGGTCCCACATTAAGCCACTGATATGCCCTTTTTTATATCTATTGCAACTTAGTGTGGCATAAAGGAGATCTTCCGTACATAAATATTTTGTGGTTATTGCTGCTGGTCAGGCAAAATCATTACCTCCGAGGCTTTAAAAAATTCATCTGTGTGCACCTTTCTGTAAGTAATACATTGTGTTACATTATTACAGGGGCACCTCACTGGCACACTGCCAGAATTAATCAGCTCATGCAGAGCTTATGTGTTTACAGCTGAGAGGTATTTAAAAACAACGTACTGTTTCACTTCAAAATCCGTGAGAGTGTGTGAAAGTAAATGCACATCTACTACATATGTTCATTGTTTTGTTTTTTTCTTTTGCTTGCATGTGAGCGGTGATGAGGGTTACGAGTTCAATTATGGTTTTAAAGTAATGGAATGGCTGGGAGTGCTCCATTTGGTGTTAATGGCACATGTGTGGGTCATTTTATGGAGAACAACAAACTATACTGCTTTCTGCAGTGTAGAGGAAAGAAGCTAATGGATGTTTTTGTTGTTCTCTTTTTTTAAAGAGAACCCTAACCCTAACATTTTCACAAACCATATAGATTCGCAGAGTAGGCTACATAAGATACAGACAAACACACACACATTAGGACTTACCCTGCTTAATTCTTTTAAGCATTCAAATTGTGTTTTTCAGGGAAATCTGGGAAACAGACCTCATCATAATAATTAGCTATTTTTCTGCATATATTATAAATGTTTGTATATAATTTATATATAAAATATTGTTTATAATATTGTTTTGTATATAATATTGTAAATATTGTCTGAAGCCCACCACAACTTATATTTCACAACAGACCACAGTTGACAGCAGTTAAACCCAACTATAATATATGGAAACTACAAACTCTAATGTGATAAACATAATAAATAAATGGCCACTGATTTCTGTAATCATTTCTGCTTGAAAACAGGTGGATAGACCTTAATGAAATGCATAATAAATGCATACACACAGTACATTCAAATAAGCAGAGGAATGAATTGAACCAATTTTCTACTCAACCACAGGCAGTGCTATTAAGAGGCTAGGGAAAGCTTCGGTTCCCCAAAATGACCACTGGAAAAAATAAGTCACTTCACCATCTCCCTCACATAGCTATAGTACTGTCAGGATCACACTGAGTTCAGTAGCAGGTCCACCATTTAGTACCCACATAATGGTATTCAACATAGGCTAATGGGCTGTCACTATCCAGAGATCAGTGGGGAAGCTTCTCTATCACACGTCACACCTTTCCCATTTCGTTAATTTGGGAAGTTATGGATGGATTTTCAAACATCCTCAGGTGTTGGATAACTTCTTTAAACAACAACCAGCACATTGTGCTGCTTTGACAGCGTCAATAGTGAGTTTAAATATATATTTAATAATCTGGTTGATTTGGAAACTGTGCTGACTTTGTTATGTTTTGTGTGGCCTATGCTGTTTCATGCTCTTTCTCTTTTAAGTTGCATTTTTGGGCGCCCGGTTAGTTCAGTTGGTAGCGCTGGTGACCCATGTACCGAGGCTGAGTCCCTGATGCAGCGGCCCAGAGTTTGAGTCCGACCTGCGGCCCTTTGCTGCGTGTTATCCCCTCTCTTTGCCCCCCTTTCCTGTCTACCTTCAGCTGTCTCTATCAATTAAAGCCCAAAAAAACATGTTTAAAAAAAAGTTGCATATTTGATCTGCTGCTGATGTGGTCTGGGTAGACTAACGTGTTGTTTTAGGATAATTGAAAATGTACAGTGTTTTTTTTTGGGTAGTCTCTGTGTGAAATTTGCCTTGGCCCACCCTGGTCTGGTCAGTTCCTGCTATAACGTTATGGGCTTGCACTCTCATATTGTGCCTTGTGTACTGTGTGCTAGATACTTGTTGTGGTGGTAGAAAAAGCTCTGAATATTTTCATTTTAAACTCCCTATAAATTATGTAGGCTATATGTGTTGTTAGAATATAATTAGGTTGAGATCCTAGACATCCACAACATCCACACATGTATTACTGTGACCCTCTGTGAGCTCTGGATAAGTTAATGTTAATTTGTGAGAAGAATGATATATGGAATGTGATTGTAACAAAGTCAAATGTTCACAGCTGACTAGGTTTATGAATGATCATAACCACCAATCGTCATAATTATTTAGCTTCCCCATGCCTTATGTCCTATCTCTGCCTATGTACTCAACTATAACTAGATTGTCCCTGCTTCATGCTAGAGATCTGAAAGTGGGGATGCTGCTTTGAGATAGCCAGGCTCTCCATGCACAATTATGCCCTGTACTTTTTGTTGGCAGTAGAACAACATCTACAAAAAGTATGATGTGGCAAATGTAGTTAAGACTTCACCGGGTAGTCTTCCACTACAACACAGGGCACAGCCAGTGTTCTGCATATGAACTCTAGCCTCAGGCTTCAGTGACCACAAGTCATTATAATAAACGACTTCTTCCTTTTCAGTGCTGAACGTGTAAGACTGCTGCCCTGAAAAGGTGTCTGATCCAGTCATATAGGTTGTGTATTCACTAGAGAGTAGGAGGGCAAATGAGACTTCAGAGCTAAGATACAGTCCCTCCTACCTGTGAGATCTTTATTTGGTAGCTCATCACTCAGGAGCTATTCCCATACAACATTTCTTGAGCTGGTATGACCAGAAGCTTATGGTGGTTAATGGGGAGGTTGATTTTTCTATGAAGCTGACTTGTGCTACTGTTACAGTTCAAACATAAAAATAGTGATATCATGTCTGTACCCAAAGGTACATTTGTCAGAAAAATACCCTGTAATGTATGAAAAAGGTCCTTAAGATGATAACTGTGGACATTTATTTAATTTTAAAGGTACAGAATCATGGCTGACAACAACCTTAAGGTGCAGGAAAATGTTACAGCAAATCAGTCATCACAAAATCTTGATAGAATAGATT